GAGTATGCTTTTCGCTTTTCCTGGCTGTCCAGGCTGCAACGCATATAAATTCCATGTAATTAAGAATGCCAGACATGTAGAAAAATTTCAGTTAAGTTTTTTACATGGTAACGAAGGAACATTATTTGCCAACAGCACTGCCGATCTGTCAACGTACACAAGTGCCACCATACAATACCTGTACCACGTATAACTTACAAGTAATTTTGCTAATATTAGCACCTTAGCGCACTTGTAGCTAACTGTAATACGGAATATGACTGGTTCACTATGTACTCGTAATATGGACAAATCAGAACATGAAATGTTAGTCAGAAAACGGTACTGCCTACAGCATACCGATATCGGACGGTATTAAGTTCGTTATCATCACACATACCATAAAATACCATGTCCCAGCAGTTTTGTTCCAGTCGCGAACGATGCTGCGGACAAGGATTTCATCGTAAACCTCACGGTTGGGCTTGTCATACCCAGTGTACTTCGCTGACATTCGCTTCGTTGGCATCGTCAGATCCTCATCAAACGTTCCATTGCTGAATTTTTCTTCGAAACTGCAGGATAAAATTTATTCATTTAGAGCAACATGGCATTCGCAAACCGCTAACTAAAAGCAATTGCTGCCCAGCCCATACAAAAGCATATCTTTCCAGTAATTGCGGTACTACGTACTTGGTATAGCTATTTCGATTTTTCTGGCATTCGGACCGTTTTGAGTTTACACTTTCACATTCTGTCCAGTCGCTACAGCTACGCTGATTACAATTATGTACTCATAATTTCTTACATCTTCTCCTTGAACTCTTTAATGAAGTCATCCAGCGCTAACTGCTTCTGCCCACCACATAAAAAGAACACATCCACTCGTGGACCAATCCCGTGCTGCTTCAGGAGCTTGAACTGGTATGCTCCACGAATCCCATACTTTTTCATCGCAGACATAAGCGACTCATCGTTACAGTCAACTGCAATAAAAGTCAATCAACGGTTTTCCGTTTTATGTTTATCCAGTACAACGTCACGAAGATGCAATTTGCTTTTACCACAAAACGCGCTATTATGCACCAGTTCAGTAAGCTTATACAGTAACTTATCATGATCGAACTAGTAATAAACGCAATGAAGGTACGCCTCTGCTTTGGAGTTTTAGTCATGAAAAATGAACAAGCGAAGAAATTCTACAACGATTAATAAAAAACCATGGAGTGACAGGCAGTTCTAAATTTTAGAACACTTACACATCTTATAGTCCCTCAGAACGAAGAGCCTCAAAAAATAATTCCAGTTGAACGGCCCATCCAGAATTCGGTAAGGTGGAACTAGCAGTTCATAGTCCACTGCTCTCTGCGATCAAATCACAATAAATTCAGTAACCTGTGCAGCCATACACGTTCGGGAATTGAATGTTTTGATTTTCACGGCGCAGTCATACATCAGAATCCTTTGATGATGTGGCTTTCGTGGACATTTTCGGCTGATTTGGCTGCGATAATCAGTTCTGGGTCCGGCGCAAAAGTGTAAGACAGCAGGCAAATTACACAATAGCCAGACACTCAGAAATCGTAACCGCCGCGTAGGACAGAATTGCAGATGGAGCACGGAATTTCCGAAATCATAAAAAGCGAAACTATATAAGCAGAAAAGTGTCTGAAAATTCCAGCTCTGAAAGTTTTGCGAAAGACAGAAGGAAAGATGAAAAAAGACTTTTCCGGCCGGGAGGGCCCCGTCTGCTTAAAGATATGGAACCAGCCAATAGTGTTTGTCTGACCACTGTGACGCACATGCTGCTATAATGTACTCTATATTCTATATTGTGCTAATGTCAGGGAGGTGGTGTACTTCTACTTTTTTGGTAAAAGATTATGTCAGATTTAAACAGAAAACACAAACTGAAACACTCTTTCTTGCTCACTGGATGCATACAAAAAACCAGCCAACCATTCAAGAAAACGAGGCTACAAATGCAGAACAGGAACGAAAACGATGTTTCCATCGCAAACCCAAAACATCTAACACTCGGTTTTGTGTTTTGGACGCCCATAGGATTTAGTTAACACTTAGTTCATCATCCACTATTTCGTTTTCTTTGCGGTACATTCGCGTTTCTAATGTTCACTTCAGGCACTGCTCGACAGCGAAATAAATGACTTGTCATGTTCCTCCGCAGACAGTGCGTCGCGCTGCAGAACGCCTTCCAACGCTTCCGGAGAGATGTCAGCAAATTCATCCGATTGCAGAACTGCATCAGCGTTTGTATCCACGAAAGTAAGGCATTTCTCCACGATACTGTCAGCGTGCCAACTCACGGCCTGCAGACACAAAAAAACATCCTTAGTGTTCGTAACTGCTGCCTGATAGCCATTTCAAAAAAGAAGGCAACCTTGCCTGTAGCCAAGTGGCCAAACAGTTCTCGGCATTTAAACAGCTCCAGATGAAGGCAGAGCAAATCCGTATCAGCTTCGGCAGATCGTACTTGTCGGCACAACTCATGGTGGCGAAAACGTTGTCCGCTGTGAGATGATCAACCGCGTCCGTTTACATGAAACTGCAAGACAGTGAACATGATCAACAATCGTCATTCTGTAAACCTTGCTCAAACTTTAACCTGTTCTGGAATGTGAGGTGTGCGTAAACTGTAAAAAACTGTAAAACAGTGCGATGGCCGAGCAGTTTCTGATTTCTGAAGCATATAAGCAGCAAAACATACAGCAAAAACCTCGAGTCAGCGTACCTGAGCATATTGGCAAATGCGTCTGTGTGGACATTTGGAATCTCGATGGCACTGCCGCACTTTTCTGGCAGGCTTCCGAAGAACATCGCGCGGAACATAGCGCTCCGACCGCTTAGGTTTGGTCTACACACATTTGTACATGCGCTCCCTCCCTTTTAACCGAAACAGTTAATCCGACAAACGCGGGCCGCGGCTCTCGAGGCAGGCATGTGAAAAGATCACAACTACACTGTAAGAAATTTTTACGCAACTAATATCTGGCTAGAACAGCCATTTCCGATTGGTTCTCTTCCATGACTTTGCATACGCCTCATGGATCTTCAAATCAACCATTCCAACCGTCCGATCTCCGTTCAAGCTGATGCGATGCAGTCCATTTTCCTCGGCGCTGACGTAATTTCCATAGTCGTTCAAAGAGATGGCAAACACCCGCAGACCCCTTCGCAAAATCTCCTGAGCAATCACCTCGTCACGTGTTGCAGTGTCTTCCTCGCCGTCGACCCACCACGTGAACACCACGTGCTTCTGATGGACCCCGGTGATTCTAGCTGGAGCCCAAAAGTCAGTGTCCTCAACTTCCACAAACACGTAGTCTCCCGCACTCCACACCCTTTGCTGGTTCCTTCGGGGCTCCGTGGAAAACACAACTGCCGGCTTCACTGTGGCATTCTGGAATACGAGCAAACTCAACAATTCCGAATCCGTCAGAAGGCCGCTCTGCTGTGAAGCACCACTGAAAAGTTAGACAAGAAAGCCAAAACAAACAAAACTCTAGTATAATTCTACTGTCTGATGTCCACGAAACTTGGTGGGGCCGTTGGCCAGTTCGGTGTTGGTAAGAAGCGGAATCGGACAAGGAATAACGCGGCGCCCAGCATCTGACGCCGGTTAGCGCCCGAAGCGTCGATACCGTTCCGTGTGCAGGCCGCTGTCGCCCATCTACAACATCGTGTGTTACACTAAAGTCTTCGAGTTTTCTTAACACTTCACGCACCGCTCGACAGCGAGATAAATGTCGTGTTCCTCCGCAGACAATGTGTCGCGCTGCAAAATGGTTTCCAACGCTTCCGGAGAGATGTCAGCAAATTCATCCGACTGCAGAACTGCTCAGCGTTCGTATCCACGAAAGTAAGGCATTTCTCCACGATACTGTCAGCGTGCCAACTCACGGCCTGCAGACACAAAAAAACATCCTTAGTGTTCGTAACTGCTGCCTGATAGCCATTTCAAAAAAGAAGGCAACCTTGCCTGTAGCCAAGTGGCCAAACAGTTCTCGGCATTTAAACAGCTCCAGATGAAGGCAGAGCAAATCCGTATCAGCTTCGGCAGATCGTACTTGTCGGCACAACTCATGGTGGCCGAAACGTTGTCCGCTGTGAGATGATCAACCGCGTCCGTGTACATGAAACTGCAAGACAGTGAAAATGATCAGCATTCCGTAAACCTGGCTGAAGGTTTGATCTATTCTAGAATGTGAGGTGTACATAAAGTGTAAAGCAGTGCGATGACAGTGCACATTGTGAAGCGTATCAGTAGCGAAACGGTAAAACCACGTGTCAGCGTACCTGAGCAGATTGGCACATGCGTGTGTGTGGACATCTGGAATCTCGATGGCATTGCCGCACTTTTCTGGCAGGCTTCCGAAGAACATCGTGCGGAACACAGCGCTCCGACAGCTTAGGATGAGTCTACACACATTTGTCTACACACATTTGTCCTCGCAACGTTTATAGACAGTCTCGGGACAAGCGGCCGTCTTACTTTTGTGCGGGAAATGACTGAATTTTCCCAAAGTCGCGACCCACTGTGAAGCACACATCGCTAAGTCCTCCGCTCGCTAACGTTCGCTTCATCAAGTTAATACTTTCATCGGCGTCACTGTCCACCTTTCGTTTCTTAGTACCCTTAGAAGAAGTTGCATTCGTCGACATGGCAGGCATGTAATATCATCGATATCTCAAACAAATGCAGAAAATATACGAAGATAGATGGAAACCAAATTGCAGATACTTTTACTTTACCGACAAAAGCAGAACCATAAAAATGAGAAGCAAGCTGTAAGCTGTAAGGTTGCAACGAACGAGTTTAAAAACCGACTCGAAAGCCAAGTAGAAGCCGCGCCACTATCTGGATTTCAGAAGGTTAGTCAGCCGCCCAGAGGTGGTGCCATGGAGAACATTTTTAATTAGCACATGGCCCATGGGTTCTTGAAAATACATAGTGCGTAATGCGTAATGCGTGCGTAGTGCGTTAGTTGTACATAGTGCGTAATGTTCGTATTCTTAATTTAATTTCACTTTTTCTCTTTCTGAAGTGTTCCTGCTTCGAAGTGCTTTCCAGTTCGAAGTTGTTATCTTCTAATAAGCTGTGTGGTTCTCCACTTACTCTCCTTGTCAATCCTGTTGGCCAGTTAGCCATACCCCGACTGCCACAACGTTGTTTGATCAGAGACGACTACTCTCTTACTGTTGCCACTAGTTACTGCTGGCGTTGGCATCAAAATGAATCCTGAATCGCGGACGGTTACCCTACAGGACGAACCTGCCTCCAGCGTCCTCGGACGCCTGAAAGAGACTTTAAGCAGCGGAGAATTTAGTGATGGGCAGTTCGCCGTTGGACGCCAGTTTTGTCCAGTGAAGATCTTCCAAGCTCACACGTAATGCTTCCCCTCGCAATGACTCGTTGATGGGGATGGATTTAGAACCGAGCTGGTACGACTTCCATTCTTTTCTTGCTTTATTCTAGATACATTCTGAGTAAGCGCAGCCCCGTATTCGGAGCGATGTTTTTTGGCAGTTTGCCCGAACGCTGCGACGGTCCCATCGAGATCGCGGATTTTATCCCCGAAGCATTTGCCAATTTGCTCAGGTACGCGCATGATATTCTGACTTTTCGTATTGCACCAGAAAAGCAGTGGGGGTCTCCTCCTGTGTTGAGTGTGAATTTAAAAATTGCCAGTTGAGCCATTTTCAAATCCAACACGATTTCCGCGTACGCACGGTGATAAATTTTTTGAACTGCACAATCCATCAATTTCACATTGAAGTGCAAAGTGCCTGGTTTGCAGTTACATGTACACGGACACAGCGGAGAACCTGAACGCAGTCAACGTTTTCCACACGATGAACTGCGCAGACAAGTACGACTTTGCGCCGTTGGTACAGGTGTGTCTGGAGATGATCTACAGCCAGTTGAGCATCGACAACTGCTTATCCGTTTTGGAACAGGTGCGATTTCTGAAACTCTAAGGTGCTAACTGCTAACTAGACTTCTGAGCTATACCGAATATGAGGAGTAAATTGCAGGCGCTTCACTGGCTTGCTGACGGTATCGTGGAGAAGTGTTTTAATTTTCTGGATAAGGAGAGTCTGGTGGTTTTGCAATCGCCAACATTTGCTGCCATCAGTAAGGACCTGCTGAAGACAATTTTGCTGCGCGAAACCTTGTCCGCTGAGGAGTGTGACATTTATTTGGCTGTTGAAAAGTAATTAACTTTGCGATTGCATCCTGATTAGTGACATTCACGCTGCGGGAGTTTGCCATAAAACTGTGTTGTAACAGATGGGGCCAGGAAGCTTGTTTTCGCGAGGACATGGAACCATCCGCCGCTTACCGGCGAGAGATGCTCGGCTCCGCGTTGAACCTGCTGCGGTTCCCTCTAATGACCAGCGGGCAACTGGCTGATGGGCCCGCACAGGTGGGCTTCCGTTTCTTGACGCACTTTCATTTTTCGAGTATAAAAATGGCTATAAAATTTTCTGGGTCTACTCTACGCCTGACTAAGCAGGAACATCAGGTCAAATCGGCAGAAGGCCAATGAAACAGTAGTTGACCAATAAAAAATAGTTAGAGGACTTAGAGCGTTATTAAACCGTATGGTGTGCACTGAAGATATGCAACGACTGACCAACGACAACTTCATTGCCCCATTCAAGAATGGCAGGCATCTGAAGTTAGCATACCATTCTATGGAGAAAATCTGTTTAACATCTGTGGACGCGACCAATTTCGTATCATTACGGGCTGGTTTGCCAGCCGCCCAGGATGGCATACGCGGGTGAGGCAATCGACTGCCATTAATTTGAACTTGTTGCTTTAATGCGCTGAAAATGCGGGACAATCGTGTAACCTACCGTTAATTCGCCCGTACTCGTGACATTTGAAAAATCAGTTTGAAATTATAACTCATGCTTTTATGATTTATCACTCTTGTTGTTTCTTTACGGACAGAGCGGCCTACTGACCGAATCGGAATTATACCGCTTGTTTGTGTACCAGAATGCCGCAGTCAAACCCGATGTCCCGTTTCCCACACAGCGTCGAACCGGCCAAATGAAATGAAATGTTGAGCGCGGGAGATGAAATATTTGTGCAAAGCCCTGTCGCAGAGTACTGGTATGCAGCCAGATTAACCGCGGTGCAGAATGGGTTCGTCTTGTGCACCTGGTGCTACAGCGGCAGGGAAGGCGTTGAGCGGACTGACAAGGTAGTTCGTGCTCTCGACATCCTGGTAAAAGATCAGCGCGTATGTATCGACGCTTTTGGAACCTATGGGAAGTACGTCCGTGTGGAGAAGGATGGACAGCATCGGGTTGATTTGGGCGGAGGGGATCGGTTGGTTGCGTTTGCTGAACTGATGATTGCTGATCGTCATGTTGCCGCAGGGAGGGCTGACCGTTAAAAAGTACATCAAGAATGATTGGGCCATTGCCTTATCCCATTGATTTGGCCATTGCCTTGTTTTAGTTTGCAACTGCGACGGCATGTGCATGCCTGTGAAGAAAAGTTTGGATTCTTTACCTTCTTTTTCTGTCTCTGTCAGTGGTTGTTTGTGGTTCAGCTGTCACTGTCGGCATTCGTGGTTTAAACAAAATTTTCGATACACTTTAGTTTACTGCAGTTGAACCAAAGGCATTCGTGTTAATGAAGAAATGTTTTTTTTTCGCAACTGATACCTTTATTTCGCGTTATGAGCAACAAAAACGTTTTTCCCCACATTCTACATAAGAAGCTAAAAACACGAGCGAGTTACACAGCAACATCTAGAAACATAGGCGGGCGAATAACAGAAAAGATCTCGCCTAAATTCACCGTCGGTGGTGCGTTTCCTCGCTGAATTTCGATGAAAGAAATGTTAGTTGCACGCTAGTGCCAGACTGTGATATCTGCGAAATTGGCGAAATTGTCCGCCGCTGGGAAGTGAAGTCCCGTTATTGTTTGGGAATAACAGCCACAGGGCAATGTTTTTGACGGCGAGCAGATTGCGAATTCTGCGCGTGTAGCAGCGTTTGTTATGGGTTCTGATCGCTGGTTGCGGAATCTACGATTCTCAGCAGTACTGTGCAATGTTTACGTTTACTGCTGAAAGGTACGGCAGAAGGCTTTTCGGGAATTCATTCTCATTCTCACCGAGGTGTTCTCAGCGCTTGTTGTGTCAGTTGTGAATATTTCGGGAACATGTTCCGGTCTGGAAGAATGGAGTTCAAACAGTGTGATGTACTGACCAAGCAACCAACTGTGTTAATATTATTTACTGGTTATTTACGATACGAAGTATTAATGAATCAGTATTATGAATCAGTTCTATGAACAGCCTACAGGCTACAGGTCATGTGTTGTTCCAGTACGTGACAAGCAGCAAATCATACAACCACACAATATCTCCAGTGCGGTTCTTCCCCAACAAGTTTGTACAATTCTTTTCGGCGGATTTATCATTTATACGTACAACAGGAACACAATTCATGCGTGTTGCCGTCTGTGGCTTTGGCCGGACCATGTGCAAAGCCTGTCAGTTCGGAGAGGCCTTTACTTTCTGGACCACAAAGCATACGCACTTTCTTGGTGGCTTTTGTCGGAGTGCTGGAATCGCTGACATTATGCTTACGACACGCATCGTGCTTCGTAAAGGCAAAACCTGGAAAGTGAGCTCCGTCTTTTGCCGAATGTTTTCTTGCGTTATATCAAACAACAAATAATAAACATGCTCTGGAAGACCGACAGCGAGATTGTTTCCGTTTCCAATGGAGACCTCGGCTCTGTTCTCCCGAACAAAGCGTTCTCCCAAAATCTCTAACATTTCGAAGTGGCTATTTTGCCGCAGTATTTGCGGTAAAATAGCCATTAGCTATTTTACCGCACTATGGTCGGCAAAATAGCCTTTTGCTATTTTGCCGCACGCTGCGTTACAATAGTCGTTAGCTATTTTGCCGCATTATGGGTGGCCAAATAGCCTTTAGCTATTTTGCCGCCGTCTCCGGTTAACACAGAACAGTTTTAGTAGCTGTTGAAAGTTATCTGTCTACGGAGAAATCGGTAGCGTAGTGCGGGCGCTGCAGTGCTCTGGGATCCCATTTACGGGAGCAAACCATCCATCCATGGCGTCCAGACATCCGCTAGACGATAAAGTTTTCAATCCTTCCAGTAAGTTCCGGGCCTCCAAAGCGTCTGGCGTAGACTTTGCCAACGCAGCTTTTTTCGCGTTTCCTTCAAGAATCACCGGTTTCCCTTGAAAATCTGATCCAATCGTACTAGTTTATGCGAACAATTACCATACATTCGGACTCCGGATAATAAACGTGCACTCCGGCCTGGTCGCTGGAGAATACAGTGCGACCGGGGTCGGAAATATCGGATCAGTCGGCCAAGCTGAGCAACAGCAGCTTTAGTGATTAATCGTGGATGGCAACACGCTCCAGTGTTATCACGCTGACACGGAACCGTACGAACGACCTGATAAGGATCAAGTTGTCCGGATCCGGCTCATCGTCGGCATGATGCAGGGACCCTAGACCTGGTCGTTGTTCAACGCGTCCAAATCGCAGATATAGGTCGACACGTCGAGTTCAGCAGTTAGAACGCCTCTGTGCCCGAGGACTTGGTTAGAGCAGTAGCAGGCGAAATATTGACTCAGCGACGACACCGCTCGGATAGCCGATGATACCGGCAAGTCCATTAACAACGACCCGGGCAGGTCTGAAAAATTAATGGCTGAATGGTGTCGCTCGACCCTGGTTTTTGCGGGGGCGAATCCATCTGCGCGGTATATTCGACCCGCGGAACGGCTTGGCAGACATAAGGAATCCAGCCGATATAGCGGATCCGGGAGACGGCTTCTGCCCGTCCAGTATGACACGTCGGCCCCGTTTCAGATACCAACCAGGGACGGCATCTCCAGACTTTTCCGGTAAAGTGCTGCCAAACCCGGTTTAACTGGTATTTGCTGGCATCCGTGCAAAACTCCGACATGATGCGCAGCAAATACGGGATTTGATCGGGCAGCCGATCGGCTCTATGCATTAAATGGCCATCATGGTGCAGCAGCCCGACATAGCGTTGCCAAAACCCGTCAATTTGGGAGAGCAGTTTATCTTGGCCGGATAACAATTCGACACGGCACAGCGGCCAGCTGTCGGGGAACAGCGATCGGCCGCGGCTGCACATCAACCAGAACATGAGTACTACTTACTAGGAAGCAGTACTACTTGCTGCTCTGGAAAAGGATTCTGGCGCATGGTTGAACGCCCTTCCAGCAGCGAATCTGCATACGTTTCTGCGAGACGAGGAAGTCAGAATAGACGTCGCTCTGCGTTTTGGACTCCTCGTGGTGGAGGAGCATAACTGCGTGAATTGCGGAAGTGTCGTGGAAGTTAACGGCCACCACGGACTGTCCTGTCCAAGTAGTAAAGGAAGAGGATCTCGTCATGGTGATCTGAACAACGAAGTTAAACGGGGTCTGGAGCTTGCGGGCTATCCTTGTAAAACCGAACCGGTTGGCCTGTCAGATAAACATGGCAAGCGACCAGATGGTATGACCTTGATCCCAGTACTTGACGGTAAAGCGGTTGTATGGGATGCGACGTGCTGGGACACGGTGGTCGTTTCGAACGTTCACGCGAGCTCGATGAAAGCCGGAAGTGTAGCGCAGTCGGCCGAAGACAGTAAGCGGCGGAAGTACGATTTCGTCGAAGGTTTGGGATATTTCTTCTACCCTCTGACAATTGAGACGCTGAAAAATTTTGGAGCTTTTTTTGCTGAGCTGGTCCGTTTCGTCGGGAGAAAGATTCGGGATAACACTGGAGAACCTCGATCTACAGCCTTTTTGAGACAACGTTTTAGTCTAGCAGTAGTCAGAGGCAATGCAGCCGCTGTTTTGGGTACTCTCAACACACGTCCAAAAACCTTAAAGGACACTCACGATTTTGGATGTTTTTTATATTGTTTAAAATTTAATCATTTGAATTAGTGTAAATGTGCGCTCGCGTATTGACACATGTGCTGGCAGATTCCGAATAAAAGTTTTCACCAGAACATGTATACCGCCGACCTAAACGGACACTGCGGCAACCGGAAATCGTACCACGCCGACCTATACGGATGGTGTGGCACCCACCCACAGTGGAACTGCGGGATCGGACACAGGGTCAACGGGATCGTTGGAAAGCTGTGACAGCCGGAAAACGGCAGTCACAGCCACGTCGACCAACATCGAGCGGGACCGTCGTCACCGATAATGTCACCGTCACCGTCCGCCCGACTTTGGCGAGACGTAGGGAAACGTGAGGCAGAAGAATTAATCAAAGAGCGACCGCCGACTCCAACGCGTTCCGACGTAAACTCGAGCTGAGGAGAGAGAAAAGATGCTAGAATTGGCAAACCGGATACAGCCGAAAAAGTGTCTGGGAACCATGGCTGCCGGAACGCCAGACGTGCTGTTCATTGTAACAAATGGCGAGACGGCCGAGCCGACGCCGTTGGGGATCAGCGACCCGTCTCGACGGATGAGCGAAGCGACCGTGCTGGCACTGACCGGAACCGACAAAAAGTCATTGAATCGCGGATGCTTGGGCGAGCTGCTGCTGGCTATTAATCGAGACACGGATTTTCTTTTATTCGATAGTGACATGCTGAAAGCGGACGAATGGACAATCCGCTCCGCCGGTGTAACCGACAACAAGAAGCGATTGGTACGAGGAAGATTACAGTTGAGTCGGTAGTGCATAGCTGCTGCGAGTCAAACTGAACACCATTTCCGTAAGCTGTTGACGTACCAGGAAACCAAGTATGGTTGCACAAACCAACAGCTGTGGTTGGTAAGTAAACGATGCAACCTCCCACGGCTGACTGTTGCTCAGATGTTAAAAATGCAACTATCTACGGTTGACTTCAGTATCTCTCGGACTGGTTCCAATCGGGTTGTCCGTACTTTCGCCAAATGTTATTCGATGGCGTTATGGATTTGCAGCTCCGTTACGAGGCTTCGCTTGGTGTCCGAGCATTCTGGGCAGATCGGGAGTCCGGGGTTTGTCGGTTGATCAAGCCGATTTATCCTAGACTCATTCGCTGCCTCTGGTATCTGGATAGGCTGCAATACACTGGAAGATGGGTTCCGCTGACCCTCATTGGCGGTCTTTGGCGCCCGGGTTAAGACAAACTTGGAATGCAGATAGTCGCATCCGAGAAGTACGGGAACGTTCGAGTTGTTTGGTTGGACGTAGAATGTGTGGGGGCTGGTGTATCCTCGCACAGTTACCGGTACGGTACAGCAATGGACAACATGCATGCGACTTGTCCGGAAACGCCGAGTTTCGGCTCCGGTGTCCAACATGGCCATAGTTATTACAGGTTAAATCTGAGTCCATGCCCGGACTACCTTCGGTTGTCCGGGGGATTTTAATGGCTGGATCGTTACCTCTCGGATGGTCACTTCGACCGGGATTAAAGGTGTTGTTGATCCGCCGGGGAAACTATTTGTGTCTTCACACGGAGTTGGTGGGACTCTGTCAGGTCTCGGTGGGTCTACTTCGTCTTGTGGGTAAACCATACTTCGGAGTTAACCGTGGAAAGTTTTACTGAAGAAGATGATGTCGTGGATGTATAAAAAT